CCCTCCTTAAACAAACCACCGGTTTCTCTAATATCTTCAACTGCCATCAGCCTTGAGCCAGGATTGTGCCATGGATCATGTATGCTTCAATGATGCTTCCACTTCCACTCATGACTTGCAACGGCTGCATCTCTAAAACTGCTACTGTCGGTCCTCCTCTTCACGCCGTGGGCCGTGGCCGGACTGCTGGAAACTACAGCTGCCCCTTGCTTGCTTGTCTCATTTCCAACGAATACATCTTTATAGATGATAGAGTCTGATAGAGGTCCGTTGAACATATGACAAGTTTTTTACAATTCATGCTCACAATGGGTTGCACAGACATGTCTTTTGAGCCCATGCCGCACTGACGCGCGCAATTTCAGCTGCCAAACAACCATGAAAAACATGCACATGCCTCAAAAACGGGTTTCCCCCTAAACCCCCGAGCTCGTGAAAATTAACAGCAGCTGAGGTTGGCCGGCGATTGGGAGTGTGGAAAGCCTCGTGGATGCAGCAGGACCAAATTAAACTATATTAGTTCTTGTAATGCAAGGTTTCATGTAGTGCCCTAGATGCAGGCACGTGGCCGTTCCACTCGCAATTCTCTTCGACCATGCATCCAGTTCGGCTTTGCCTTTCACACTCATCTTGTTGTAGAACGGCTTGCCCGGGCTGAGGTTCTCGGATAAGGGGCCTCTACACAGGCAACAGTATGGACGAACTTGCGAAACACTTAGAATTCCAATCGATTCGTGCTCTCTAATCTCAAGAGCAAAGACTCAGCCTGACAGTTGCATAGCCGTGTGAACATCCTCAAGCTGTAGCAGATCTTCCTGGCCCAGCATCCTGACCCAGTTGGCATAGTCGGACCTGTGCAGTGCAATGACCGATATAGTTCGATCATCAGAGTGCATGCAGAAACATGAAATAACAAGATCCTGGCAGAATAATGATTCTAAATAGGTGCAGCAGAATGGCTCAGAGAGGTGCGTGGGGAAGGTCTCCACGAGCTTTGCGTTCATGCTCCCAAGCACTGCCTTGACCTTTGTGGAAAGGCCCTTCTTCGGAGCCTCTTCCAAAACCTCCGTCTTTTTCCGATCCATAGCGAAGTCCTCCTTGAAGATGTCCGCGTCCGAACCTTCTCCCTCCTCTGGGGAATCCTCTGCAGCCTCATCCTCCGCTTCGCTGAAGGCACCACTGCTTGGATCCGAGGGCGGGCTGGGGACATCCTCCGGGCCCTTGTAGTCATCATCATCATCCTCCGGGTCCTTCCTGGACCCAGCTTTTACCCTCTCCTTAGCCTTTGCCTTCATCTCCTCCACATCATCCTCATCATCATCATCATCATCATCCACATCATCCTTTCTTTTCTTATTCTCCCTTTTGCGTTTTGGGGGCGGAAGCCGCTTCTTGCCGCTTGAGCTCGGCAGGCTTTTCGCTGCCCGCCGGTTCTCCTTCTCCTTCTCTTTGCTGTCTTTCTTCTTATCATCCTTTCCTAGCTGCTGCTTCAGGTCTTGCATAGCAGCCTCCCAAATGCTAATCTCGGGCAATGTGTAACTCAGGCCAGACGGACCAAACAAGGCTACGGTGGTACTTCGGCGCGATCAATGAAACACTGCCTTGATCTAATCTGAAGCCTAGGCCTAGTTTTGAAACATCGCCTCGTGGTGCTTGTTCAAGAGAGCACCGATCTTCTTCTGCAGGGCTTCCTTTCCGCCGCTCCTCCTGACAGGTTTCTGAGGGTGTTGGTCAGCCTTTGGGGTTTGGCGGTTTTAATTAATTAGGGTCCTTCTTTGGGGTGCAATACTTGCAGGGTTTGGTTGATTGTAATAATAATAGTAGAAGTTTTCTCAAGATTGCGTAACCTATAGATATTTATATAACATTTTATAGTGACTATTGTGTCTGACAAATCCCAAACCCAGCTCCTCGCGTTCTTGCGATACAGAAGCCGAACGGCTGCCGAGCAATCGGCCAAGGTCTTTGCATTGCCCACAGCAATTGCACTCGGCGGTCGCCCCGTGACTTAGCTCAAGCTGACATGGTTCAAAATTCATTTCTGGGCCACACACCTTTTGGGCTTTCGGGGTCTCGGCAGGTTCGGTTGAAGCAGGGGTTCGTTAGTAGGGCAGCGACTATCTATGGGGTTTGTGCCTGGCATACTAGCTACAGCCTGCTACAGAATCCACAGCCAGAACTGACAAAGTATTCCCTGCTTCGCGGCCGAAGGACTGCTATGTTACAATGTTTCACGACTACAGAGGTTCCAGATATTAGTGTCCCTAGTCCCGGCTTCTGTCTGCTGAACCCACAATAACAAAACAAGCCACCCTTCCATATCCACAAGAGCCAGCACCCCAACGGCACCGGAAGCCCCGAACCTAAGCCCAAATCTGAAAATAAGCCCCGCCCGAAATTTAGTCTACCGGAAGGTGGAATCGCACATCCTGGAATCCTGGCAAGTGGCGAGCATGCATCACCTCGTTCATCCTCTTGCACCATATCGTCGAGGCGGTGCGACCCTGGCAAGGATGCATCTCTTTATTAAGGCTCCTGGGGTTAGGGGTGTACGTTTCGACGGAGTATTAGGATTGTATTCGTAGTTCGGGGTGCGGGCTGGGGTCGGAACATTAACGGGAGAGCGGTTGTCTCGCACCTGGGACCTAGCAATATTATTTATTTATTTGTTGTCCAGGGCGTAGGCTGCTGTTTATATAAGTGTGGGTTCCAGGTCATAATTATGAGGCTCGGCCAAAGGCCTAGGGCCCAGGACCAGGACAGCAAGCAACGAAGCCTGCTGTGAAAATAGGTCTCGGTAGCGGGGATCTCAGTACAGTTTGCGTATCGTCCATAAGTCTCACACACAGACACCGAGCTACGGCACTTCAGCCCCAAAAGCACCTAATCGCCGAAGCTAATTACTACTAAGACACCCTAAGCCGCGAAGTCCAAGATGGCCCGCCTGAACCCAGAAACAGGAGCAGCCGTATTCGAGTTCCGGAATATCATAAACAAAGCCCGCCAATCTAAGGTTACTCCGAACACCCATCGCACAAACTGGCAAGAGCGTGCACTCCGTTCAGACATTGCTGTGTGCCTCGAAAGCAAACTTTTCCTTGTCCTCCTTCTGGCGTTGCTTGGCTGCTTTCTTCTCCCGGGAGAGCAAAAGGGTTTCCTGCGTAGGCGGCACGAGAGAGGTTGGATCTCAGTCAGTATTTTCGATAGATACGGATATTGTTATGTAGAAACATCTACACACTTACACATGTGTATATATATATATATACACATAGACAGGTACATAGATAGATAGATAGATAGGTAGATAGATAGATAGATAGACAGATAGCTAGATAGATAGATAGATAGATAAATAGGTATTAGGTATAGAAAGATTATGTCTTAACGTGTATAATATATAAATAAATAAATAAATGTGTGTGTGTAAAGTATACACTAGTAGGTGTGCGTGTGTGTATATACATATATATATCAACACACACATATATATATATATGTACGTTATGTGTGTTTATACAGAAGTGTATGCATGTAGATAATCCTATATCATATATACCCATACATACACATGCACTTAGATTGACACTGCTGCTATGTTTAGTTTTGTGTTTGGTTTTCGTTCAGGATCACTTGCTAGTTATTGTTCTAGTTATGACGAATTATTATTATTATTATTATTATTATTATTATTATTATTCAGGTTTCACCAATAAGTGGGCATATCGGAAAGGCTAAGGCAGGGAAGGGTGGTATTCGAGTTTCAGCTAGAGTCGTCTTCCTCAAACTCATTGTCTATCTGTTTCTATCACTACAGAGAACAGGACAAGTTTACACACACACGTATGATAAGGAAGGGATAGAAACCCGAAGTGACATTGCCCATATTTCTATGATTGGCTAGAAAGCAAAACCAAAACCATATGAAGCACAATGATTTACAGCTGAAATACAGAACTGCTATCCTGATTCACAACCCCGTTGCCACTAAAACCCTGCACCCTGCCCGAAACCCAAAACCAAGCTGAGCCGAGGATCCAGCTCGCCCCCACACTCATAGACGTCTGTAGCGGAGATCATTTCTGTTACCTGCGACAGCACAAACCCCATCATCCTGCTTGGCATGTCGTTGATCTTGAAGATCTCCTCAGACTTCTGCAGCTCTTTCTTTGAAAGGCCGAACAAAGCGGCGGAGTCATCGACATCCGCCGACTCCAAGGAGCTCGTCTCGTCCTTGCTCGAGGACGACGACGAGGAGCTGCCTGGGATGTTCACTCCGGTTTGCAATTGGCGCTTGAGTCATGCTCTCCCACTGACAGAAGACTGATTGCAGATACAAGCGACCCTTCTTTTTCTTTTTCTTGCTCTTGTCCTTTCTCTTCTTGTCCTTGGGATCCTTCTTTTTTTTCTTGTCCTTGTCGTCGCCGGCTTTTCCTGAGCTCAGTCTCGATCGTGGCTACGGTCACATGGAAAACGTGCGACTGTTGCGTGGGGCCAGCAGTGACAGACAGTAACCAAAATTGGGTCCCAAGCTCCCGTGGCACCAAAGGCCTCGTCCAGCGATCTCACCGCCGTCTTCATCATGAAAGATCTCGCTTCGCCTTCCTCCGGCGGCGGCTCGGCTTGCACACTTCTCGTAGAATTGCTCCTGCCGGAGCTA